TACTGGTCCATTTATTGAAAATATTATTTTTATTATTCTGTTTAGCTTACATTTGTAATTTTTAAATTATTGACCTATATGACCTATATGGTGTATGCTACTGACAGGATTTATCAGTAGTATATAGACGCAGATTGTGATAGGAAGCGGCCAAAATTGAAGGCAACATTTTAAGTTAATGGTTGTAGAGGTGGGTGTGTTCATTCCTCGAATCTGCATCTAGTTTAAGCTGTTGACATGAAATAACCTCATTGGGCAACCTTGCCAGAAAGAATAAGCAACAAGAAACTCTAACTGGCGGTGAGCCAACCAAGAGCCGATTGCTCAACAAATATGTGGGAGAAAATGGAGGTGGATCAGGCGTGACCGTAGAATGACATCGCGCACAATGCAGGCCGTCGCTCGAGTGGGACCCGAATGGGAAGTAACGAGTGGGTCGTCGGTGAGAGGGTGACAAGGAGGAAATGGTGAGAGGACGAGATGAGAGGTTATGTTCAGTTGTGAACCCGGCTGAAGAGGACAACACCAAACAGAACAAAGTGGAGATTTGTTGTTGAAGCCGTGTGTTCCACTCGGAACCCAAGGGAATAATAAATAAATAATAATAAATTACCAACCGATCTGAACAATTTATTCTTTTCTGACCTTGACAACTTTTAATGTGACTACGAATGTTATAAATATAATGTGTTTTTCCTTAATTTAATACAGTTCCGTTACCCAATATCGTTACATGTATAATTATTTGACCGACCTAAAGAGTATGTGTGACATGAAATATGTCAAAATCAGAAGCAGAATCTCTAGGGGCATTTTTCCTTATTCCTTTATATTCCTAGCGGAACATAGAGCAGCATCAAGTTAGAAGCTTTGAATTTTAGGTAGCAGTGGTGTTTATTTATTTTTACGGGATTCAGTTGCTAGCCTCATGTCCAAGCTTCCCTCTTTACCAGTCTTATAACTGGCTTAGCAAGGTAAAGGAGGGCGTTGGTGGCCGTTGATTGATCCCCGGACCCCATGCGTGGTGTGCGACCACCCTACCACTGAGAGGCAATTATTATCCTTTCCCAAATGACACATTCGGTTATATATCAGTGAGAGAAATATAAATTGAGAATGAAGTTGAGCAATTTTCCTGAGCAAATCAAAACTTGAATTCTTTTTTTTAATACCCTTATTCATTTAGTTTCACACAGTATTAAATAGAACAAAACACTACATAAACAGAGGAGGCAAATATGATGACAGAATATATTGCTATCAAACGACTTTCCGACCCGACATCTCTGTATACAAAAAGATAGTGCGACTAATCTCTAACTACTCTGGTAGTCAACCGTAACTGTTTGTTTGTTTTTCGTGTGCTTTTGTGTTTTATTATGTTGCATAACATTCCACCTAATTTTGATTTTCCCTTACTGAGTTGTACTCACTATTAAGTTTCCAAATCTACTAAATTATTTTGTCTATTTTATAATTTTAGTTCACTATTCACACCCCTCCACCCTCCTGAACTCTCCACCATAGTATGCATAAATTCACTGTTGTTCTGTCTTGTAATTTGTCTCCAGTTTATCCTTGTATCTAAAAGAAATCTGAACTCCACACTCCTTGTCTAATCACTCTGTAAATAGTCGCTTTATTAACACTGGGTCTACTTACATCATTTTTGGAATTAGGTTGCCTGTACCTTCTATTTAAAAATCAAAGTCAGTGGAAAAAGTATGCTCAGAGATTTTGTAACTTATAATTTAATGGGTCACAGGATTTCATCATGAGCTGACATCATTTAGAGAACCACTGGAAAAACCAGCTGAGAGTACTGGACAGCCAGCTGCTCCGTCCTAGTTTGGGATTCCTCGGCAGTAAGGACCAATCACCAGCTTTCGAACCCCGGACCTTCTGGTTATAACGCCAGTGAGATCGTAGACCATTAAGCCAGTGGGACCGGATCCAATGGCCAGCCCATGAATTCCTACTTCTGCCATTTCACGACATTGTAAGAGCACTAGCCAATGTCATCCGTGGTGAGGTTTTGTCCTCACACCCGACTTGATGTACCCTATTGGTGATGACTTCCCACTAGAACCCAGGTAACCAACTACATGAATAAGGCCAGTCGCTAGAGAGCATTTCATTGATACTCATGAGCTGACACCTCTAACCGATATCAGCTCATGGTGAAATCCTATAACCAATCAACCAAATCCTTGCAAACCATTACTTAAATTATAATTCGATGATTTTGTTTAGTATGCAGGCAGCAGCTGAAGAGAGTCAACGAAATAAAACGACCTCGTACAATCCTGAAAATATGTTCATTGTTTTTTATTTAAACTAATTAGGGGAATAGATTGCAAGAATACAATGAGATGAATAAAAAACTTCTTTCAGCCTTTTATTTCCACATGTAGTTTGTTGAATTTCATCATCATACGCTTTATAGTGGAATGGACTCTAACTGATCTTAATGGTTAAGAGAGAGATTGACTTATTTACCAAGGAACAACAGTCTTGCATAGTCCTCTGAATGCATTGAGCAGTAATCTTCGAATATTTGGCAGGAGATTAGCCCTAAGCAAATGTAAAATGATACTGCGGGGAGTGGCCTACACCGATTCACAGTGTAAGAGGTAGTTGGGGGGGGGTATGTTGAACACTTTACTTATTTGCGACGACGCTGCATTGACTCTAATCGCCTAACTGCTGACGAAATCTCAGCAAGGGTACAAATGGGTCTTGTGCGATTTGCATTTATGGAGTAGACGTGATATCCGCCTATCGACCAAAGAATGTGTGTACTAACTGTACATCAGTTCACTCTGTCCTCCTTTATGACTGTAAGACATAGAGATTGAAAGTGGAATATCTGAAGAAGCTAGCTGTCTTTGACCACAAAATATTTGCAATTTATCTGTCATATTGAATGGTATAAAATGGTGAGTAATATTGAGTGTAGGCAGTGTTATACAAAGAAGGGAAGTTAATAATCGATGAATTTGTAAAGCTGCATATAGACTGAGATTTCTAGGCAACAATATGTTGTGCATGCCCAAGGCACAGCCTTCCTTGACAAGCAATCTCATCTGACTGACATTGGAATGGGTTGGAAAAGAGTGTTAGGGGGTGGTCAAACCAAAATCTGAAATTATTTCATAAAGTCTTCGACAGTTATTTTGAGAGCCAGCCACATAGGGAGGTGTTGACTGCCTGTTTAAGATCATCGGGATGATAAGAACCGATTGCTTAGGTCCATTGGTGATATGGCTCAAAATGATTGTTGTCATTGGCGTAGGTGCATTCACTCTCTTTGTATGATCTCCACTTAACCTTTATGTTAACTGGCATAAGAATGGGATGTAAAAGAGTGTTAGGGGTAGTCAATTCATATAGTGTTTGACCATTGGTTTAAGTCAGCTACAAAGTAGGGAAATGTAAACTGCCTGATTGGAATGCATTCATTCTTTGTAACCTCCCAGATCCACTAATTCGTCTTTTTTCCCCTATTTTAGTACCCATTCCGGTTTACATTTCTGCTCAACAGAGTTCTTTAGAATAACTTCTTTCTTTTCTTTACCTTTTATGTACTACGTAGAGTATGTGACAACTTAAATTAGTGCATTTTTATGCAGAATCCATAGTTGAAACTCTGTCAGTCAGCCAGTCAGTCAGTCATGGAGTAGTAGTAATTTTAGTAGTATAAATGAGTTTCTTTAAAAGTTTATTCAAAATTAGGCTTATTCATCATTATTATTTAAGTTAATTTCAATTTTTCCCTTGGCTGATTATGCTGCATTGGAGTGCAGTTCAACCCAACAAAAAAAAACAATAAGCAATAGATGTTGCACAAGAGGTCGTGGGTCTCGTAAGCCTGTGTGCCCTAGTGGTGAATACAGTTAGGCTTTTTCGAGAAGATGAGTACACCATCTCACTCACTACTGAGGAGTTCCAAATAAGATGTAATATGAATTTTGGATTCTATCGGTAATCACTAAATCTCTGGTTGGCATATCCAGAAAAAATTAATCAGCCTAATTTTGGTATATTCGGGTTCCATGAATGAATCACCCCCACCGTTGCCAGGAGTGCGTCGGTAGCACAGTGGTTAGGACTCTCGCCGACCATGCACATAGTCCGGGGTTCGATCCCCTACCGGCGCACACCTGATATCTATGGTCGGCCTGCAAAATTTGGGCTACCGATATCATATGCTGAAAATTCCATACTTGTACCAAAAATACTATGTGGTTTCAAGCTATAATAAAAAAAGTTATTTATCCCTTACTAGGCGGTAGTAGAATTCAGGAAGTGTGTTTCATCCTATCACCATCAAACACTGTGGCAGAAGGGGATGCAGGTATATCCAGAAGACGCCTCCCAAATAGGATGAAACGCGTAAGTCATCTATATTATACTGTTAGTTAGTTCATAATTAGTTGAATGGTTTACTATTGAAAGGTGTTCTGTTCTGTAAATGTCAAACGGAGTGGCTCATGAAACAAAAATGCTCATTTGCTGCTGCTGGTTTGGAAAAAGAATACGAAAATCAATAAAGTACCTTATTCTAGTAGGAGCGTCGGTGATTCATTGATAGAATTCTGACGAACTACGCACTTGGTACGGCCGATGACGCACTCCAAGTCCTCACCCAGCTGATGGTAGTAAGCCCGGGTTAAGAGAGAAGATGGTTTGACTTGAGTCTAGCAACCACCCCACTCCATGAAAAAGAATTCTGCTGCTCATGAAATTTGAAAAACTTGTACCTCGAAGGCTTGTGTTCTACTCGGAAGGCAAAGGAATGAAGGGAAACAACTTTAGTAGGAAACTGAAAGTGTTTTTTTTAAGGCGTGAAGAGAGTAAGGGAAACACTTTGGAGGAAGTAATGGTGTACACCACAACACAATTCAACCGTCGAAAAGTTCTAAGGATAATAAACGTAAACAAATGTCCTGAACTACTTCCATCATTATTTATTACAAACAGAGGTGAGAATCACTTACTTTTTTATAGCATATCTAACAGTATCTTCATTATGACTAGCTACCATAATATTAACTTGACCAAATTTACGTTTTTTCATAGCCATAAACACACGTTCCAAGCAGGCTTCATACATTGCTGATGTAGCAGCATAATTTGCACAGATTGGATCTTCATAGCCTAATTCTTTAGCTCGTGCACGTTCCTAAATCAGTGGTAATAAAAAATAGAAGCTTTTAAGGATTATGTTTAATGGCATTTTAAAATTATTGAATGAAGAAGGGTATTAGATATATACACAATAAATGGAACTGCACATATCAAGTGATCCACAACGGAAAACTCAGCGAGGCGTTTGGAGTAAACACAGGAGTCAAACAAGGGTGCTTATTATCACCAATGATATTCCTAATTGTGGTGGACTGGATTATGCGTCGTCAGACAGTGGGAAACAAGAAGACAGCGAGGGATATCCTGGACCGACGTGAAGAACCTAGAAGACCTGGATTTCGCGGATGATCTATGTTTGATGTCATACAAAATCGAAGACTTACAAGCGAAAACTGACAAACTGATCGAAGAAGCAGCAAAGACAGGACTCCGGGTGAACATAGACAAGACGGAGGTTATGAAAATAACCAACCAACCAACAACAACAACAACAACAAGAAAAGCAGCAACATCCAGTGCCAATCACCATCAACGGGAGGGATTCGAAAGAGGTTACTTCATTCACTTATCTAGGGAGCATTGTCTCAACTACAGGAGGAACCGACGAGGAGGATGCCAAATCGAGAATCGGGAAGTCGAGAAACACATTCATCAACCTGAAACCAATCTGTAAATCTTCGTCACTCAGCCTGCATCAACAACAAAATTCGGATTTTCAATACAAACGTCAAGTCAGTCAGTTCTTATATACGGATCAGAAACTTGGCGGGTCACAAAGAATATTTCCAACAGCCTGTTGCAGGTAGACCTTTACCAACAACTGTCTTCGTTCTATACTGAAGATCAGATGACCGGAATGAACAAGAATCAACAAGAAACTATGGGAACAAACAAAACAAGAACCAGTCGCCAAACACCAAATATGCAGGAGAAAGTGGAGATGGATTGGACACTCGCTTAGGAGGCCGTTGGGTGACATCGCCCGTCAGGACAACGCTCGAGTGGAACCCGAAGGGGAAGCGGCAAGTGGGACGTCCAGGGGTGATATGGAGGAGATCGTGTGAAGAGGATTTGAAACAGTATGGAATAACATGGATGCAGGTGAAAAGAACGACAGAAGACAGAAGCAAGTGGAGACGTGTAGTTGAAGCCCCATGTTCCACTAGGAACCCAAGGGAACAATAATAATAATAGTAATAATAATAATAAATGGAACTAAACCTAATATCAATATTACAAGTATACATTTGTTGGTAATAGATGGTGGGAGCCAATTGGCCACAGGAAGCCCAGCTGGGACCTAGGTTTCGTGCTAGTTAGCACTCATCAGTCGTCAGCAAGGCGTATCTAGAACCTCGAAGGAAGGAACTCATGAATCACGAAAACCCCTTCCTGCCTTCGCATGATACTGGAGATCAGTTAGCGGGCCGATCAGAAAGGATAGATGACCACAGAACTCTGGCAACGAACCCAGCCAAGAACCTTTTACCTGAAAAATATGCTTAAGGCAATGAGGATTGATTGAATATATTGCCGAAAAGACCATTGAGTGATATTACGTGTCAATCAGTCAGTCAGTCAGGCTGTCTAAAAATGGAACTCAAACGGTAAGTAGGCGATGAGATCTGGCATAGACCAGAGGATGGATGACATGGAGGCGACTATGTAAAGAGGAAACAAAAGGCTGTTGGCAATCATGGAACCACCTAAGAAAGACTGCAGAGAACAATGTGATGAAATGGCTGTGTGCTGCTAAAGCCCTACGGTTCCACTGACAGAGGTTACCTCCTTCACTTATCTAGCAAGCATCGTTTCAACTACAGGTGGACGGCATAGATGAGGATGTCAAACAAAGTCAGAATTGGAAAGGCAAGATACGCCTTCATCAGTTTGGAAATCTTCTGCACTCAGTCAGCATAAGGAACAAAATTTGGATTTTCAAAAACAATGTGAAGTCGGTCAGTGTTTCAATACGGATCAGAAACTTGCACTGCGTTTCACAAAAAGGATTTCCAAGAAACTACAAGAAACTTTCATCAACAGCTGCCTTCGCTGGCTCTATACTGAAGATCAAATGGCCAAAAAAGAATTAGTAATAATAAAATCTGGCTGGGAACAAACCAACCAACAGGTGAGGGCCAATCGCTCAACAAATATGTAAGAGAAAATGGAAATGGATTGATCGAGCATACACTAAGGAAACTGTCGAATGACATCGTGCGCCAGGCCCCCACAAGTGGAATCCAAATGGGAAACGACGAGTAAGTAGGTCACCCGAGAGTGATATGGAGGAGATCGTGTGAAGAGAAGATGAGATATTACGGTCAATCGTGGACCCAGCCTCAGAAGAGGACGGCAGAAAACAGAACAAAGTGGAGATGTGTTGTGTGGAGCCGTATGTTCTACTCGGAACGCAAGGGAATAATACGTAACACAAACACTAAATTTCTCAGTAATTGTATTAATTTTCTGTTTAATGTCTACTGTTTACAGATGGCTATTCACACAAATTTTTAGATGGAGAACAAACATCAATAAACATCAGATATGATGTAAGAAAACATATTGATGACGAAGGAACCAACAAAGCTATTATACTACCTACCTGATCCATGTAAGCACCACGAACAAGTTTTGCACCGAAATAGAAATTCTCTGTAGCAGCATGATGTAAATCTTGATCAAGAGTTTCAAGTGCATCCTAAAGAATTGAAAAAAAATAAAAAAATGAAAGTCAAAGAAATATCTTAAATACAATTAGAGAGACATTAGGAGTTAAAATAGCATAAAAGTAATTTAATGGATAATGACTAGCAGTAGAATACAGTCAGGATGGGCATTTCGTCCTATTTAAGACTTATCCACCAACTGGATGTACCTGCGTTCCCCAGTGAGTGAGTCGATGGTGATGTTCCCCACTGAGACTGGAAGCGAGTACCCACCGTTTCAAATGCCAAAGACCATGTGAGCCACAACCACCACCACGTCTTGTGCTGCAACTGGTGTCAGTTATTATGGAATTCAATCAACGAGTACTGGTTTGTAGGGATCTGGTAGATTGGTTACAGGATTTCATCATGAGCTGACATTGGTTAGAGAACCATTGGAAAACCTACAGGGGGTACTGGACAGCCGTTTCGTCCTAGTTTAGGACTCTTCATCAGTACGCACCCACAATACAGGGGGTTCGAACTCAGGACCTTCTGGTTACAAGCCAGCGAGCTAGCTCATAGACCATTAAGCCACTGGGACCCGATTCAATGGCCCAGGAATTCTAACTTCTGCCAATTCACGACACATAGCGCGTACTGATGAAGAGTCTCAAACTAGGGCGAAGCAGCTGTCCAGTACTCCCAGGTTTTTCAATGGTTCTCTAACCAATGTCAGCTCATGATGAAATCCTGCAACATGAAAGTACTTGTCGTATACGTGTTCAAATAGCAGATCAAGGGCATTGAATGGCTTGTACATTCCTATCCCCCTGTTTAAAAAAATATAAGGGAATGTAATGTTGGCTGGCATAGTCCTTATGGACAAGAAAGACTATATTGAGAAAATGCAATGTTTCTTTTTCTTCATTTTTTTGCGTTTTAAGTGGAACATTGGGCTTTAAGTAAGTTCTACTCATTGAAGTTTCAGTAGTAATGGGACAGTTTTGTTTTTACGGAATGAGGCTTCTAGCCTCACGCAGAACCATCTCCCCACTTTGTTGGGGTGTTTAATACCCCAGAGCTAGGTGAGGTCAGGGCATGTGTTTCAGTCGGGAATTGAACTTCTGACCAATGGAGTGATTAGTCTGCAACAACAGAAGACAAGGGCCAGGCACTAGATCGTTTATTGAGGAAATCAACAGATATTTATAGATACTCATGTACATTATTATAGATCATTGTAAGCAAACAAACACAGTCTTCTGATTGGTTGTTTCTCACTGAAAGTTAATCTTTCATCACTTTGTGGCCGTTTATTGAAGTTCAGATTATCTATCTGCTAATTGTATCCACCTACGCAAGGTCTGCTGTGGCTGGTTGTTGAATCAGTCTTTGTTCTTGTTGACGTAAATTATTGTCTACCAATTTGGCTAGCAGCCAGCTCTCACTACAAGTGGACATTCCACCGATGCAATCAGTAGACAACAGTAAGTGCAAAGTATTTCAACAGCTCACTTGAACTGCATACTGAGTGGATATTAAGGAAATAAAGTAACCATGGAAAAAGATATATTTTCTACGCATATAGACCTTATATAACAGGATAAACTCTACCTATGTAATGTATGAGAAGACAGAGGTGATGAAGATAGCCAACCAACAGTGACAACAGCAACAACCAGCACCAATCACCATCAATGGGAACAATTTAACAGAGGTTACTCCCTTCACTTATCTAGGAAGCATTGTTTCAACCACAGGCGGAGCAGATGAATATGTTAAAGTCAGCCAGAATCGGAAAGGCAAGATACGCCTTCATCAACCAACCTGAAACCAGTTTGGAAATCTTCTGCACTCACTAACTCAGCCGGCCAGCGTAAAGAACAAGATTCGGATTCTGCTCAACACAAATGTCAAGTCAGTCAGTCACTTCTATATGGGCCAGAAACTTGAACTGCGTGTCACCAAAAGGATTTCCAACATCAGCTGTCCATTTCTCTAGCTGGATCCATATTGAAGATCAAATAGCCAGCTGGCCAGCCAGCCAGAAAGAATTAGCAAAAAGAAACTCTGGCTGGCAGCGAACCAAACAACAGAGAGCTGATTGCTCAACAAATATGTGGAAGAAAATGGAGATGGATCAGGCACACACTGAGGAGATCGTCGAATGACATCTCATGCAATGAAGGCCATCTCTGGAGTGGAATCCGAATGAGAAACGACGAGTTCTGTGTGAGTTCAGGGGGGTGGATAAGGAGGAGGAGATGAGAGATTATGGTCAATCCTGAACCCAGGTGAAGAGGATAGCACCAAATAGCAGAAAGTGGAGATGTGTTGGTGAAGCCGCATATTCCATGTGGAGCCCAAGGGATTAATAATAATAATAATTATTATTATCAAATGAACAAGCAGGACAATTTTTATTTCAATTCATCTTTATACCATCTAAACTGAAGGTTAAATCACCCAAATACAGCTATTCGGAGGAGTTCATAAGAAAGCACGTTGGATACGAAATTCGCAAAGAAATGATTTTCGTTTACAAACAAGAGGTCACTCTATATCTGGTTACAATTTACAAAGTGATATATACCAAGTTGAAAAAGTAATCCACAAGGTATGGAAATCAATTCAAAGAACATTTAATAATGGTTAGCTGAATCTGATATTTCTCTACACGCACAGTTGTAATACCCAATCAGAAAGATGAAGTGTCTAGGCTAGCTGCCTCTTCCTGTGTACCTATAACAACTCATTCATTCAACTACTCCTTTTAAACCAGGGGTTATATCGGTTGTTGACCTAGGGACTTAAATTTTTACGCCTGAGAACACTCACCAGTGTGGCCTTAATGATGAAGATGTAATAAAAAGCACACTACCAGATCACTTCATCATCCAAACAGACCGTTAAACCAATACAGAAAACTGCTTTACTATTATTTATCGTGTACCGCCTAACAAACTACCAAAGGTCACCAGGCATCAAATAATCCAAACAACAGCAGTTGCATCAGCCATAGAACAGAGCAATTTGCTTGAAACAGTCAGAACTTAGTACTGCTGTCTTAGCCTGCTGTGAATCTATAAATTTCATAGACTGTGCTATTCCCTTCGTCCTGTCTGTATGCAATCCTGCCAACCCATCCAACTCCACACACACACACACAAACAAACACACACATAAACAACCTTCTGACACATTTCCCCTGCCCCTATATTTGATGATGTTATTATTTATTTATTCATTCATCATATGAAATTTATAATCAGACTGAATAAAATTCAGACAAAGCAATAAGAGGAAGACGCCATTCACATATGAATCGTGTAATGTAATGTGTATTTATGTAACACATGTCGAATAACTCCAGTTATGGATAAAATTTTATTTTGATAAGTCACACAGTGTCTGTTGTAGAGTAATATTAACTGGTGACCACGTTTCGAGCACAAACTATTGCCATTCATGATCATGTCAAGTCACTCACACACACACCTTTTCTTCCTTCATTTATATACATGTGTGGAATCGATGAGACATGTGAATAAAAATCAATATAGGATAACGTACATTCAGAAAGAATAATAATATGAATGTTATTGGTCAAATATAATCAGATGGGAAATAAGACGAGTGTTTCTATAGTCGTAATAAGTAACTTGTTAGAATGTTGTGATGTGCTTGAATTGAAATAGAATTTTGAGATTATTTATTATCCTCCTCTGATTTCACTGACTGACTGACTGGTGGTAATAATATCTTCCATTCATATCTCTGGTATTTGCATTGAGTCATTTCTGTTGCATGTGTTGTGTTGGGTGTAGACTCGATGAATACGGATTCAGTAATCAATCTATATCTCCACCTACCTAGATTACTTCTTACAATTTTAACCCTCTCTCACCCTATTGTGTGATTGTGTGTTAATGCATGCAGTGCAATTGCTGAGCTTTTTTCTAAATTACTAATCTTCTCGGGGTCAACCATTCTAACCTTAGCTAAATTCTTATGTTCTGATAATCTGACTACCTCCGATCTACTAGTTTGACTTATGTAGTTGACCTAACTCACAGTCATTGCAGGGTATTTTGTAAATTATACTATTTTGTTCAGTTGGGTCCACCGACAGGGGCTTTTAGCCTACAGAGCTTGTTTCTGAGTGAGTTTGTAGGTTTGAATGCCCCTTTGATTCCTGCTTTATTCAGAATCCTACTTAGGGGGGGGGTCTCAGATGCCCCCTCCTTATATGGTATAACAGTAGAGTATAGCGCATATTATTATTTCTGAATGTACATTATCCTATATTGATTTTATTCAAATATCTCGTCTATTTCACACATGTTTTTAAATGAAGGAAAAAAAAGTTGTGTGAGTAACTTGATATGATTAAGAGCAATAATTTGTGCTCGAAATTTCATCAGTTAATATTACTGTACAACACTGTGTGATTTATCAAGATAAAATATTATCCATAATGGAGTGCCCAAGTTTTATACTTATATCAATAATACATTTCGAATAATCTGATCACATATGGACTTGTCATAGGAATGAATGTATATGTGAAATTAATAAAAAGTTAAGAGGTGAGGAAGTATACTTAGGTCAAGTTGAAAGGACATATTGAAGGTTAAAATAACAAGGATGATCAATAAACCAAATTAGGTAATAGTACATCTACCCTGGCTGCTATCAGAGTAACAAAGTTTACCAAGGAAGGTTAAGCGTGTGATGACGAATTATTGCTTTGAACGCATAAAGATGGTTTAAACTTCCTAATTGCCAGCTAGGGCTTTCACAAACTTTAGGATACGCCCTCTCCCAAACACGTTTTATAGATAGGTTTAAAAGATGTGTTAACATCAATTTTATGTCCTGTCCCATCTATAATATGTTTCACAATAGAGGAGCTAGGTCTCCTGTTCTCACCATTAATGGGTTCTGAAGATTCTATTCGCTTCTATAAGCATTTAGGAATATGCTCTGAAGTCAGCCCTTACTTGCAGAGATTAATGAGTCCTCCCTATGTATGTGTGTTCACACGTACATTGGATGTGACATCATTTTTCGCATGTTCGAAGGGCTTAGATGGATGGATATATTGTCTTCACATTCTCAGTTATTATGATATTAGCTGGAAAAAAAGTCTTTTTAACAGCAGCATTCAATCTTTGTCTAGTTATCAAGCTGCTATGATGCCCCATATAAGGTAGCTTGATGTACACGTCTTTCTTAGGGGCGAGTTGGAGAATGGGTCTTGGTGTTCCACTGACTACTTTATATCTCCTAATGAACTTGCCTGGATAATTGTTGTCAATCAGAGTTTCTGTCAACTTTCTTTCTTCCTCATCAAGTATGTCCATCTTCAGTGAATATTCGTTGGATTCTACTGAAGAGGCACCTTACTCACTAAGGCTCTTGTACCGATCATGGCAGAAATTGTGCTAATTAAGATACTGTCCTGTTCAGGTTGGTAGGTTTTCTATAAATGGATCGTTTACCAAAAAAGGTTTTGTGTGACGAATTGTTGCTTTCATCGCATAAAGGGGGTTTAAACTTTCTAACTGCCAGCTAGAGCTTCTACAAGCTTTATGATACGCCCCCTCCCAAACGCATTTTATGGATGAATAGGTTTAAAAGACGTGTAAACATCAATTCTATGTCCTGTCCCATTTATAATATGTTTTGCAATAGAGAAGCTAGGTCGCCTGTTGTCACTATGAATGGGTTCTGGGGATTTTATTTGCTTCTGAAGACATTTCATTTTGAACACTATTCATGTACCACCAGCACCACATAAAACGGAGTTGATCGATTCGAGTAGATAATATCAAAGGGAAAACTATAAAAAAGAATAAATAATAACTATGCTTATGATCACACACACGCATGCACACACAGGGATGTTTTGAATTATCATCAGGCAACAACCAGTGCGTCGGTGGTATAGCGGTTAGGACGCTCGACGACCATGCACATGGTCCGGGATTCGATCCCCGGCCACGGACGCACTCGTTTACCTCGCTAAGCCAGAAATAATGCTGGTGAAGAGGAAAGGTTGGGCATGAGGCTAGCAACCCCATCCTGTAAAGTAAACACCACTGCTACAGAAACTTCAAGCCACTATCTTGAAGCCCTATGTTCCACTGGGGAACGTGAAGGAAAAAAATACAAGCTACCAATTGGCATATTTTTGATTTTAATGGTTCGATGTTATATTTTAAAAACTGAGTGTTTTCAAATGTTGATTTGTAGGGATTTGATTGATTTCCAATTCGATCACGGACTGATTTCGCAGTCAGTGAGCTACTGAAAACCACTATGGAGTAATTGGCGGCTGTTTCGTCCTTGTCTGGAACTCTTCATCACCGCACTAAGGGTGATGAACCACCCAGTAACCTCAGGTTACAAGGTGAGCTCGCTCGTTGACCATTCAAAGCTAATGGAAAGGAATATAAATAATGGCTCATCGGTTCTAACTCTTTTGTGTCATTTCACGATACATACAGCGATCACCAGCCAATGCCAAATCTGAAATCAACCTAATCCCGGCAAACCAAAACTTAAAAATTAATCTGGGGCACACTAATGACAGACTACAGAATTTAAGTAGCTTGAATTTCTAGTGAGAAGTTGTAATTAGCTGGGTCTACTAATTTTGGCATGAGATCAGATACCCACTGATGTCGTGAACTGACAGAAGTTAAAATTGATGAACCTTTGGATTATGTCTCAGTGACTGAATGTCGTCAGTGAGCTCGCTTAGTAACTTCAAGGTCCTGGGTTCGATCCCTAGCGCGGGGGGGGGGGGTCATGCATATTAATGAGTACTACTAAAGAATCCCCCAAAAAGGATGAAACAGCTGTTCAGTATTTCGTGCTGGTCTTCAATGATTCTCTAAGTGAAGCTGATTCATCATCAAAATTGAAATTACTAATACTATCAATATCAATTATTCCTTAACTGCTTTCCGAAAGGGAATATGGGGATTCCAAGCCGCTTTTTGAAGTTGGCTGGAGTTGCCAGACTAACCAACTTCTCCGACCTTTCCACTTTTCCGGGATTACTGTCTACTGGTAAAGTAAGGTAGGATGGGGTAGGGGAGGATAAGCAGTGAGTCGGTCGGGAATCTGACCCGGACTATGTGCATAGTTGGCTAGTGATTCTACCCATACAGTCACCCATACATACACTCTGTAACTGATATGCGGCCAGAACCCGAAGAAGGTGACTTATAAACGCCAAATTAAAAAAAGCAATAATACAAGAACAACATACCTTTAGATAGCATTGATAAGTACCATATATTACAGGTCTATCCTTGTTAAATAGACGCATCATTTCAATAGTCAATCTTCGGATAGCCGGTTGAAAGTAAGACTGTTCTGCATCCACCATAAGTCGGACACCAGCAGACTTTGCATACTAGGTTAATAATGCAAAAACAAAACAAAACGAAAAACAGTTATGAAATTTTACATATATATAAATATATTTTATTTTTGATAACAGCTTGATTCCACACTGTATTTTTGATACAAGTATGGAATTTTCAGCATGGATATCGGTAGCCCAAATTTCGCAGGCCGAACATTGATATCGGGTTTGCGCCGGCAGGGGACTGAACCTCAGACAATGTGCTTGGTCGGCGAGAGTCCTAACCAATGTGCCACCGACGCATATATATATATATATGATTTAGAATAACACATTTAAGCGAACAATATTGTGCTTTCAATTAGATCTTGTAGTGTACATTGAACTTAACTCTAATATGCAGACACAACTATACAAATAAATATTCAAATATATAAACCAATCATGGTGTTTTGTCTATAGGATTAGATAAGATTGTGCATTATAAATTATGCCATAAGTCATAATAATATTAATCATAATAATAATAACGGTTCTATCAATCACAGGGATGATAAAATGAGGCGATCTGTGATGACAAGAATAACGGAAAACAGCATGATTAAACAGACAAATGTTCAGCTAGACATAGTAGTCGATAAAGGCTAAGCAAAAACAAATGGACTGATTACGTAATGCCCTATTGGGAGTGAAGTAAATGAAACTCGTTTTTAATGAAGATGTGATAAGATAAAGGGATGATAAGAAAGGGGCTGAAAATATAAGTAAGGGGTGGTGTAGAAGTCATCAGTTGGTTATGTCTTAATAGGCCAACAAAGGAGGGATAATGGCTGTACGAACCTTTCTGGAATGCATATTTCAGGCTTAATAGTTCGAATACTTGTCGTTTCACCTGTGTGCAGTAGACCAATACGACGTCCATTGGAAAGATTCGGTGGAATACGATGAACTACCTCGTAATCTTTCGTTTTCTCCACTACATGACCACTATCAACTAAATGTGACAAAATGGAGCTACAGATTATTTTTGTCTGTCCTTTACCAAACCACCACGATGGGAAGAGTTCAGTAATGACATGCTGGCTAAGCTGCTGTCTAACAGTATGCCCAACATAACTGTCACCCCAGGTGCAACTGAATTGATAAAAGCAGATAGATGTGGAAAAACTATCTATCCTTCGTTTGCGTCTCAATCATTCGTTGGCTAGAGAATGGCAAACCGGTTTGCTGCATAAAATTGCACAATTTATATACACGATCTTATCTTATCCTATTGACAAAACACCGTGAGTGGTTTCTATGTATTATGTCTGCATATTAGATTTAAGCCTGATGAAATCTAATTGAAAACGCAATATTCTTCGCTTATATGTGTTGTTTTAAATTTTACTATGGGAATATTTAATATATATATGTATACATATGATTATAAAATTTAATATAAAATCATGGAATGCAAGAAGCAAATATAAATAAAACATTAAAAAGGTACTTTTAATTTGTGGACAAAACAGCTGGGGGGAATTCATAAAATTTTCAAGTACTGGTTTTGTATGGATTTGGTTTGATTGCTTGGAAAATTTCCTAATGAGCTGACATCAGTTAGAGAACCATTGAAAAACCAGCTAGCTATGAGTATTGGGCAGCTGTTTCGTTCTAGTTTTGGACTCTTCGGCAGTACAGTAAGGTACAACAGGTTGAAGGTTAGGCACTAACAAATCGAAGTCATACAACACTAACACCTGAAACCGCCCACGATGATTATTCTAGAACAATCTATGTATATGAACATACATATTTTTTGATTAGACACTAGTCAGTAACTAGTGTGGTGTGTCTAGTCCTTTCTTTGGTGCAGACTGAATTCTATCAGTCAGGTTTGAAATGTGGTAACCATGCTAGGTGGCTCACCATCACAGTGCACTGCACTGTGAATTGTTGGAATTAGCTGGTTGTAGGCAATCGGCAGGAGGCTCTGCTTGACCTGGGTTTCGTGCTAGTTGGCAATCAATCACTAGTCATAAGGAAGGCGTATCTGCAACCTTAAAGGAACTCATGTCCCTTCTGAGATTAAGTTTGCACCAAAGATAGGACTAGATACATTACACTAGTTGCTGACTAGTGTCCAATCAAAATATCAAATACAATCCTACAGGAGATCAATCGTGAGCATGAATAGCTCAGTAATGGTAACGTCTCTAACTGCATTACTAGGTGACGCGGATTCGACTCTCAGAAAGGAGATGAGTTCCTTCAAGGTTGCAGATATGCCCTCTATTACTTATGAACAGTCATTATTTGCCTAAGACAGTTATACTGCACATAGGTAGATATACTGATTCTGACAGTCTAGGTGTATTCTCGTACACTCAATAATTGCGCCTAAAGCAAATGTCGCTGAAACCCACTTTCACTATTCAGACCATAATAAAGCCTTATCGCCAAAACAATGCCATAGCTGCGAAGTATCCTCCAGATTGCTTTATTTTAAAGCTTCATAAGCTATCTGTCAATTTTAGTTTTTCAAAAGTATTGTAGTTGACATCTTTATTCCATCTAATTTTACAGAGTACAGATATTCTACATTTCTTTGTCATGTTTCATACAATTCAGTGTACAACACTATTGATATAAAGATAAAACTTGGGCACTGTGTGGTAGAGTATAACTCCATTATGCATAAAAATTTCTATTTTGATAAAATCTCACACAGTGTTTGTTATACAGTAATATTTTCTGATATGACCACGTTTCGAGTACAAATTATTGTTCATTAGTGTTATCAATAAAATACAATAAGATGCTTTTAAAGCAAAAATAAGCAGCTTGTTAGAATATTATAATGTCAATTGAATACATTTTAACATTATTTATTATCCTCTTCTGATTTGACTGGTGGTAATAATATCTTCCATGCATATCTCTGGTATGAGTGATGAGTCATTTTTATTGCATGTGTTGTGTTGGGTGTAGACTGGATGAACCAGGCAGGATTCAGTAATCGATCTCTCTCTATCTCCACCTACCGATATTACCTTTTAGAATTTATAAAATACCTTGCAATGACTGTGAGTTAAGCCAGCTACATAGGGCAAACTAGTAGGTCGGGAGTAGTGAGGTTGCCTGTCAGAACATAAGAATTTAGCTAACGTTAGAATGATAGATCTCACGAAGTAATTTAGAAAAAAACTCAGCAATCGCACTTCATGCATGCATTAACACACAACCACACAATAGGGCAGATGGGACAGAGTCAAAATTCTAAAAAGTAATGTAGATAGGTGGAGATAGAGAGAGAGATTGATTACTGAATGCTGCCTAGTTAATCCAGTCTACACCCAACACATCGCATGAAACAGAAGTAACTCATCATCGCTAATACCGGAGATATGGAAGATATTATTACCACCAATCAGTCAAATCAGAGAGGATAATAAATAATGTTAAAATGTATTTCAATTCACATTATAATATTCTGACAAGTTGTGTAACAACAGAAAACAAGGGCCAGGCAACAGATCGTTTATTAAGGAAAATCAACACATATTTATACATTTTCATGTACATTATTATAGGTTATTGTTAGCAGAAAAACAGTTTTCTAATTGGTTGTTTCTCACTGAAAGTTAATCTTTCATCTCGTTGTTACTGTCTCTTGAGTGTCAGATCATCTATCTGCTAGTTGTACCCCGCCTACGCTAAGTCTTTGTTCTCATTTTTCTCACGACCAATATTGGGAACATTAACATTGACTTAAATTAATGTCTACCAATTTGGCTAGCAGCCAGCTCTCACCACAGCTGTAATTCATTTTACTATAAAAACAATTTACTTCCCATCTTATTGACTAACAACACTCGTCTTATTTCCCATGTGATTGTATTTGATTGATAACACTAATATGATTATTATTTATGAATATACTTTATCTTATATTACTGATTTTATTCAAATATCTAATCTCATCAGTTTTTACCCATGTATATAAATGAAGCAAGAAAGTGAGTAGTGCCTTGATATGATTATGAGTGACAATGATAATTTGTTCTCGAAACGTGGTTGGTCATCAGTTAATATTACTGCATAAAACACACCACTGTGTGCGATTTTATCAAAATAAAAATTTTATCCACAATGCAGTGCAACACTATTCAGAAAACAAAATGTTTAACAGACAAGATGTAACAGTGGAACATCCGACAGAAATCCATGCAACAAATTATCCCCATGGAACGAACTATTTACAAATTTTTTACGCTCAAGTGACTGTAAATGAAAAATAGAAGCTGGTCTTCCCTTTGTATCAGTGAACAAAAATCTATAAAACTTGTAGTCCCACGAACTATCGATGATAAACTACCAATTAGGAGCAAGGTCAGAAATCTACTCTGTGAAAAACACCACTGCTACCGGAAATTAGAAACTCAAGTTTGAAGCCTTATGTTTCACTCGTAAACGCAAAGGAGTGGAAAGAATTTGGATTTTAGAAAATTATTATAGAAAAACAAATGAAGTCATACAAAATATTTATAAAAGAGTGGTAATCTCTTACATAATCTAAAAAATATTTTCCAATTTATTATTAAAGTTCTTAGTGTTAGTCTAAATCAATTTCCAAGTATTGGTTTTGTAGGGATTTTAGGCTGATTGCATGTAGGATTTCACCATGAGCTGACATCAGTTAGAGAACCATTAGAAAACATGGGAGTACTGGACAGCTGTTTTGTCAGCCTAGTTTGGGACTCTTCATCAGTACGCACCCACCCCACAAGGGGTTCGAACCCAGGACCTTCTGGTTACAAGACGAGCACGTAGACCATTGAGCCACAGGGACCCAATCCAATGGTCCTTGAATTCTAACTTTTGCCAATTCACGACATAGCGCGATCATTTCGCAATGTCTTCTTCGATAAGTTACTGCCTTGCTGATGAGTGCCAACTAGCACGAAACCTAGGTCAGGTAGGGCTTCCTGTGCGTAAATTATAAGAAATCATTTATTGCGTTTGTTTAGAAAAAAACCCTTTTAATATGCAAGAGAAATCTTTTA